AACGTTCTCCAGTTTTTAAATATTGTCCAATTTTTTGTTCAAATTTTGTGACAAAATTTTTCCTCTCCGTCCCAATAATTTTTGGCCGAATTTTTCGATTTGGTTTACGAAACATTTTCCATCCTAAAAATCAACGAGAGATTTTTTTCACAAGTGTCCAACTTCCTCGAGACTTTCTACCAGACCCTCAACTCAAAGGTGTCCGGCCCCCCGTCGACGTGTCTTTCGGAGCTAGAGGTATCACGCCTCCAACCACCAGGCAAGGATCAGTCGAACATCATTAAGGGCTCGCCGTCCGACGCCCACCGCCAAACACCAAGTAGTTAAGGAACTCCATCCCCCCCCCCGTAAAAGGCACCTATTTGTGACCACACAATTGTCCCCACACTAAAAACTTAAGACAGGCCCTCCACTACCCTTCGGTCACGTTCACTAAACTCTTACCCCCCACTACCCACGGAGCATAAACGCGTGAGAAGCAGTCCTAGGATTCGTCGCGACAAGCCTGCATAACCCTCGAAAACCTTTTCCGAGAACGATCCCTAGGGGCTGTCTTCACGTATGTCATCAGTTGGACCCTCCCTGTTTCCGCACCTGGTTGAATAAAGCCGTAGTTCCTTCTCACCTCCCACCCCGCCTCAAATCGATATAAAGATTTCCACTTCTTTCCCTACCAAAAAACGTCTCCACAAAACTACACCCCAGAGTATCAACTCCGTCCCAGTAAACTGACGGGTCCAACCACTGTTGACGATCCTCCCCCCTTCCAGACCAGCCTCTCACTACAGTTATCTTTTTTTATTATTATGTACTGTAGCAATTTGAGGTTCGTTTCAAATGTAAAGTGCAATACAAATAAAATGTATTATTATTATTATTATGCAAAATCCACTTGTTCTCTTCTTCTCTACATCAACATGTGTCCCCTCTGTGTAAAGAGACTCTGAAAGTCTCAGGAAAAAATACCCCCTCTCTTTTTGTCCTGATCCATTTATATAAAAACCTGTCTGAAAATGAGTGGACCCGATTTTGGCCACTTTATGATGTCATAACGATTTTTTTGGCTTGTGTAACCATTAGCCAATCACCAACCAAGGTAACCCCACCCCCACACACCTTATCACCTGAATCTCCTCCTAGAGCACCTTTGTGTTCTTTCTAACCAAATATCTCTCAGAGGAGCGTGTGGAGGGGCTCCTTATTTTCATCTAAAGTAACAGACAGAGAATCAGCACTTTGGAAACAGGGCTGAAACAGAGGGGATTATGGGTAATGCTACAATGATCTGTTTGGTGTTTGGAGCCAAACACTTCTCAGACATGTTTGTATATATCTGAGACCTATAATATATTGATGAAAAACAGTATAATAGGGGACCTTTAAGGTGAAAAACTCAAAATCTCTTGCGTCTTGTTTTTCAGATATGTCCACGCTACACTATGTTACTTTCTTTGAGGACTTCCTTCTGAAAACAATCTGCCTCACCTTGAGAAAGAACTCTGTGCCTTTTTCCATGATCTGTTGGATCTGCAGAAAGCCGGCCGTGTACATGAGCAGGAACTGGTCCCCCACCGTCATGCTGAGACGGCCTGTGTAGCAGAAAGACAAGATCTGCTGGAAGCTCTGGGGCTGCACGGCCGACGGGAGCTCCACCACGGTGGGGCTTGTATCATTGCTGATCCCGCCTCCGTTATTGCTGCTGCTGAAAAGGTCACGGAAATAAGAACTGCTAGCAGCCAGCACAGCTCGATGGGCCTGAGACAAAAGCAGATAAGTAAGGCAACCCATTAGAACTTTTGAAAGACGTGTTCTATAAATATTATGTACAAGTTATGGACAAGAACTTTACCAAAATAACAAAGACTTGAGAAAAGTTTGAAATAAAGTAATTAATATATTAAAAGAAAAGACAGCATTTGTTGCCAACTATTTGGGACCTGAATTCAGTCAGTATTTAGGTATTGAAGTCTTAAAACACGAGTTCTCCCTCTGTTATAAGAAAGAAAGCCGTACTCAGATTTTGGGGAGATACAAGATCGCAGGGCAGACAAAGTTAAGAGTATCCTCCAAGATAAAAGTGAGAACAGACATCCAATCAAACCTTACGGCACTCCAATTGGGGGCAATCTAACCCATTAAGTTTACAAGCAAAGTGGGAAATGACATGCCATTAAAGACTACAAAGGGGTGATTTCACTTATCCCCAAACCTTTCTCTAAAGAGGAGGAATTTAGCAGAAGCTCTCTAAAATTATTCTGATGTGAAAAAACGCTCTCTGTAAATAAGTACAGCAGCACTAAAGGTTGGTCTCTCCAACACAGCAACACGAAAAAGGAACAATTTAGAAATATGACAACGATTGCTTGAGACTGTCCAAACAGCAATTACTTTGAAGTATATTGACGTTCCATTATCCAAGCAACATGGCTGCCATCTGGTATGATTGTTTACACCGAAGCCTAAACTTCTGTTAATTGAGCCCCGACTTTTGATGCACAAGAGAGGAAAACAATAATAACTTTAGTGTGATCAGTACCTTGAAGGCATGGCCCTTGACCACCACGGAGACATCGCAGTAAAGGCCCTGCAGTCGCTGTTCATTCAGACACTCTAAAACATTGTTGCCAAAGTTTGGAATCGCCATCTGGAGGGTCTGGGCCATGGTGCGCCTAGGCACACCACCAAAAGGTCTTGTCGGGAAAGAAAGAGAGAGAGAAAAAAAAGAACAAGAGAGGAATAAATAGGGTTGCAAATTCAAAAAAATATTCAAGAAAATATCAAATGGAAATATTGGGTTCATTTGCTCAGGCTGTATTTACCAGGTTATATGCATATAGAAACTAACCTTTAACCTAAAAGACATAATCAATTAATGTATCAAACACAATGTGCCATGATCTGTATGTGTGCTGGATAACAAGTTAACAATTTGGAATAGCTACTTTAAAATAAGACCCAATAATGTGCACTAGGGTTTAAGATTAGGTGACAAAAGAAATGTGTTACTTAAAAAAAACAGTGAATGTAGATAGATGTATTGACAGACTTTGGTTAGCATGCTCAATCGAGCGACATCCCACATGGTATAGGTGTTTAGCACGACTTGCTACCAAGTTATAAAGGGTTTACTTAGCTTTGGGTTACTATCTGCCTCACTGAAACATCATCAACCTTTCCAAAGAAATATTCACTCGAGCTATATGATCAAAATCTACTGTCAGCAGTATTGTGGGTTGCACACGTGATGGGAGAATGCACTGTGTATGCAGAGGGTTGTAAATATACTGAATTCTTATTTAAATGGGATGCTTGCAAATAATCTGTATTATGTGATGTAGGAGTTTTCTGCTGAGTGCGGTGCAAGACTAGAAATGAACTAAATGTATACTTTTTAAATAGAAATTGTGAAATAATGTTTAAAATCTGATTTTTATATTTCAGTCAAAAACACTTGCATATTTAAAGTTAACTTTACCTTGACATTTTTCAAAAAAATGTACAGATTGTTTGCAACCCTTGGAATTACAGAATTGCAATAAGTGACAGTTAATCATCCACACATAACTTGTATAACACCGACAATTAAACAAAAGTTCAGCATGTCTTGAAAGGATGTTGCCGAGTCACCATGTAGTGTTATAAACATTACTGCTCAACAGGGATTTCATTTCAGTGATTTCAGTGGGATAAAGTTGGGCAGGCCCATTTACAACAATGACAAAAAAACGATTTTACCCTGTGCTGTGTGCTTGGTGTGAGGAGGGATTCAGCAGGCAATGTGAGGAGGAGGTGTAATGTAACATGAAGGTGTTAAAAGACAGAAAGCTCAGGGAAAACCGGCCTAAAACAAAAACAGGTGAGGAATGTCACACACAGTACAGCCGACAGTCTTTTACTTGGATAAACTCAAACCTAACGTACACTTAATTTAATCTAATCCAATCATGTATTACTTCAGGACTCTTTATGAAACACCTCGATTCTAGAGGAAAGAAGTCCTGAATAAGCCTTGGCATATTGACCACAAATAATTCTTCACACAGTGATACTGAAGGCTTTTGGCAGGCTCACGGGACGTTGATATTTCAAACAAAGTTGTGTTGAAGCTTTTATGGGTAATCTACATAGCATTAATCTTATACGTCACTTCAACCTTGCAGTGGTTGTTTTTGCCAGGAGTGGGCTCAGTGAAAGCCTTTTTATTGTCTGTCTTATATGAGCTATAAAACTGTCCTTAGATAACTGGGTCATGTCCTGTTATTCTATGTGAACAAAGTGTGTGGCTTAAACAAACACCACATAGCATGTTTCCGTTCACTTCTCTAAACATTCAAAGGCAAACATACCTCCTTGCCCTGCATCCGCTCGAAAGATTCCTATATTATGCATGTCAATATTAAATTAAAGTGGAGCAAAGTTCTCTCTGCTGTAGGAAAGCTATATTATTTGTGCGTGAATCTGTGAGATAGCTTTGAATTCACTATCAGTTATATCAACACAACAGAAAACGTATTTTTGAAATTGTACACATGATCTGATTCTACAGAATGTGAGGAATCTACTTTTTAGCACAGAGATTCACATAAGCATGATATGCCCTCTGTACTGATGACCTAACTTCCACAGTCACAGCTAAGGGAACAACAGATCCATTGATAAGTCTACGTGGCATTCCATTGGCTATAAACCTTTACAGCAGAATAGAAGCCATAAGTGGATTCCACAGATTTACATAAATGTGTATCCGGGCTAAGATAAAAGCTGTTTTTACACGGATGCTTGACTACTATAGTGTTGCATGCGTGCAAGTTGCACACACACGTGAAGATACAAACCAAAAGACAATATCTGAAACTGAGAGAACACACTCTGATTGAAGCCCACCCTGTGTGAGGCACACTACCACTTTGGTGTGAGTGACTGACGAGGGCTGGAGAGAGCCGCCCCATCATATCCAAAGCCTTTCATTTGGGACCTATCCAAGCTCCAGGGTAAAGAGAAATGCTCTCTTTGTCTCTGTCTCACTCAAGCTCCCTCTCCCTCATACTAAAACACAGATGCGCACACACAAACTCAAACAAACCCACAAAAGGCACACTGAGTCACACACAGACATGAGACAATACTGCTTGTTTACAGTTTGGCGAGCCGCAGTAAGCACACATGCGTGCACATAAAGACACACAAACACAGGGCTGAGAGCAGTGTGTGTTTGCACAGTTCGCCCTGACAGTGAGAGAGAATGTGACTGTGTGTATGTGTCTTTATGCACCAAGGAGGGTCAGTGAAGCTTGCATAGATGAAAGGGATCATCTCAGGTCCTTATTCCATAAAATATATAGAGCGCAGCAATGGGAAAGAATTACATTCACCCGAACTCACCCTGTGGCTTATACCAACTAGCCTGGTGGGGAAAGTAGGTCAAACATACAAACAGCATGCTTAAGACCTTAGAGATCTCATAGTGACCCTTGAGAATGTTTTGCCCACATCCAAAACGGCTTATGTAAGATGGGAACGTCTGTCAACATATTTCAGAACTTATCCAGAATAAGTCCTTTAATAGTAAGGTATACATTCTGACTACTTCAGTGTATCCAGTTATACCATTGTAAACATCATCATGGGCTCATACACAGCTATGTGGATGATTAGTGTGGAGTCATTGGGTAGCTGGCACACAATGCATTCCCTCTATAGGCATTTCCTGGTTCTCATGTGCCCATGCCTGCATGGCTGTGCTACTCCTATCAAGTCCAGACATATGAGCAGGCCTGATTCGTGATTATTCTTATATAACAGGGATATCCTGAATATAAAGCAGCACTGGCGTGACAAGCTTCTAAACTTCTTAATGTTGCTGATGATGTTGTAGCTGACAGTAGTCTGCCTCCGTTCAGAAAGGTTTAAACGGGAAAGGATTCCGGGTAATGGGGAACAGCTCTTTAACACACCGACCCGTGTGCCAGTCCACCCGCCGGGAGGCTCCACTGTCTGCTGGCACCGGAGGCGACGGGAGGGGGGTGACAGGATGGCAGCAAGCCCCGGTGTTGAGGAGACGCCGTGCTCCTGTTTACGTGCCCTCAAATGACATTTAAGTGTATTAATATTAATTATATTCGCTTTATGTAAGTGTCCCCCGCTCCCCTGTGGCTGACAACGCTGAATTGTTGTATGCCCTCTTCCCATCCGCAGTGGGCCTGTAGAGGTGGCTAACAGCTAAGCTAACACTACTGTTAAATATTTTGGGTTCGCCCCATCCACCTCATGCACACTCAGCCCCCAGATGCACAATGACAAGCATTTCCGCGATAGTCCACACACTCAAAATATGAACAATACACTTACTGCCTGTGCGGACGAGGTAGCTGTGCTGCGACGCCGGTTGTCAAGCCCAAAATGTTGCTTATTTAAATATTTTGGTGATGGGGGAAATCGCTCCCCCTGCCATTCTCCATTCTACCGACATCAACAGGTCATCCCAGGACACGCAGCAGCTGAGGGCGAGCCAGACGGAACCAGTGCGGCACGGAGCGGGGGGGGTGGGAGCACAACAAGGCACAATTCTTTACGAACGAGTTACCGTGCCAAGAAAACCTGATTGCCATTGCATTTTCGCATATTTGAGAGAGGAAATTAAACTACAAACCTTATACTCCACGATGGTTGTGTGCAATACTTTAGTGTGTTTTCTAAAGGTTGTTTTGAGATAAAGAACTTGGAGCCGTCCCCTAAGTGTACAGCCTACTTCCCAAACTTTTTATTGTCCCGTACCTATTGGACCGTTCATCCTCAACCTTACTCCACGGTGTTAAATAAGGACACCGGCACAGACCCCTCACTCCTCTACACCCTCCCCCTCCTGCTGCTCCGCCACCGCAGCAGCAGCAGCAGCAGCAGCCGGTGAATCCTCAGACGACCCCGGCAGGACGTCTCACACACAGCGGTAGACAGACACTCACCCCCTCGCTGGGAAGTTGATGCTGGTTCAAAGGAAGAGACGCAGATCTCTCTCTCCCGGTTTTTCCTTGCTCTGGGAAGCCATTCAGTTTGAGCTAAACGCCGATAGCAGGCTCCTCGAGGGCGGTACAGTATCCCAGGGGATTGCGGAACACAGAGCCACTGATCGCACGGAGCAGGCAGGAGAGGAGGAAGACGAGCATGACGCGCTCGTCATTCAATCGCATGATCGTGTCGAGCGCAGCCTCAATTTGGGGAGACCTATCCCACGGCGGGGACTGTTTGCGCATTGGCACAGCAAGCAGCAGCAGCATAAGAGGGAAAACTGTCTCCCACTGGCTCCCCCCTCTCTCTATCTCCGCACATGAGCCATAGCATTTGGAAAAGTAGGCCGTGCTGTGCACTTTCTGAAATGGGGTGAACTTCCGCATATAAAGTAGGGATAAAGCCGCTCCCTTGTTGGCTGTTAACAAGTGAAAGCTTATAAGCAAAATACAGGGTGCAGTAGTGACACCTATCATACCTGCACGCACCTTTGTTCAACTGAACATATACCGTAATAACCATTAGTTTGCAGGTATCCATGTGTTTGCTGACCTCTGGCCCACAACGCTATATTCAACTTAATGTGCATAAGCATTAATATGGTCTGTAACTGAGTACATTTACTCAAGTACGGTAGGCTACCACACGTTTTTCATAACGAGTACTTGGAGCAAGCTACTTTTTACTTTTTCAATGCAGGACTTTTACATTGTGTTGGGAAAATACTGATTGTATGTAGGCCTACTCTTTCAATATCAGAGTAGCACATGATAACAGAGGCCTAACTGTAACTGTGTAGCATACTTAACCGGATGTATGATGGATGATGCTCATGAGACACTGTTGAACATCTAGCTATGTTCCTATGATTACCTTGATGGTTCAGCCCCTAGGGAGATAGGCATATGACTGTCATGTTTATTGCAATACACAGGCCTTAGCTAAACATTGTATACTGCTTTGAACCGGTATTCCTCCATCTTGTGACAGTGTAACCCCCTCTCTTGTGTATAGGCATGTGAAGGACACTGTTCGGGGAACTTTGTCCCATATGCTCTGTATGTGATAGGCTACTTCCATTCTTGAAAGGATAATAAATACAGTACATGTATCCTGATATTGAAACTCAAGCCGGTGACAAGTGATATGTTTCACAACACACTGTATTGTAACTTTTACTTATTGCTACTTTTAATATCCATTACAAAGAAAATTCCCTTGTCTAGCTTTAATATTAACCACACTTTCGACACAGAGTTCCAGCCTCAGAATGCTATGTATCATATCAAAACTGCAAATAAATTGTCACATAAAATAAATCAAGCTCTTGCTTGAAGGACCGCTTTTCTGGCTGTCATTCGTAAGGACCAACTAGAATTCCCCACATAACCATCTGCTTTACACAATAAACATGCTCTCAGTTATGGAATGATACAGATGTGGCTGCATTACATTTTGAGGTCTATCAAAGTTATTTTGACATAGGTCATAAAATAAATCCATGAAAATAGGCAGTTTTGGTCATTCAGAATTTGAACAATGAATTCACACAGAATGTGAAAATAATGAAAGCAGTGCCATCTCCTAGGCCCTGGGCCCAGGAGTTCAACAACTTTTAATCTCAATCAGATCCGATCCGATTTTGAAATCCCATTTTTTTGTGATCCGGGATCAGACAAATCGGCCAGATTTTGTCCCTGGAGTTCAAAGCAATTCAGGATAGGATCAGCCTGATCGAGATTACGATTTTTCAAGATGACTAGATCCTGAATATCAGTGCTTTAATCCTACCGATCGCCATCTAGTGGACATGAAAAATAATACAAGGAAGACAAGAGACCACATTGCAGAGAAATCAATAATGTTTAATTATATTTTTTTATTTGAAAGGTGATGACAGATGATGGACTTTTTTTTTGTTGAAGATATTTTTACTTTAATCTAAATTACGTTTGTGATTGACAATCTTTGCTGTGATACTTTTATGAGCATAAACATTTATGTCATCAACATTTGGTTGAAAACAAAATAGGCCACCACAAACATGAGCAAAAATGAAAAAAATAAAATGTATTTCCCATGAAGGCTAAAAATTGTGTATTATTTCAGTTAACAAACTTTGCCATCTTATTTAAATTGAAACATATTTTAAAATAAATTGTACAGTACATTTTGCTCTGGTAATCCACTGGAAATCCACCCCTTTGGTGGGATCAGGATAATCCAGTTTTTTGGGATCAAACTGATCCCAATCCTGTGCTGTCGGTTTGAACTACCCATTTTGAAGATTTGATCCAGATTAAAGCTTGGATTGGATTTCCTGATCTGATCGGATAAGAAAGTGATCCTAATCCTGTTTTTTGGTTTTGAACTCCCCAAAATCCAAATCTGATTTGATCAGATAGGGATTAAAAGTTTTGAACTCCTGGGCCCTGGTTATGATGTTCTGCTTCCAGGATAATCGGATTCATAGCAAAATTATATCACACCTTTTTTTGTTTTGTTTGTTCAGTAGATGTGCCTGATAAACTCATCCACAAATGACAGTGGCTATTTTAGAAACATTCTTACACAAACATTTAAAAACGTTGCAGTATATTCATGTCTCAATAAATGTGTATGATCCTTTAGCTGAATTTTGAGGGTAAGCCACTGTGAGGTCAAAACATGATTTACTGCTTTACAACAGCTTGAACCAGTATTGCCTACAATAGACTACATTTTACATTACAATTAAGATATACTCAATACTAAAAATGTGTTTGCACAGAACTAAGAATACGTTTAAGTTCACGATTTGCGATGTAGCACGAAGGGGATCACGGGCCATAATACATGAAGAAGTGTCAGTTTAACTGGTAAAAATAGAATAGGGTTTACTAAGGCAATAGTCTATATCACACATGTCAAACTCAAGGCCCGGGGGCCAAATCAGGCCCGTGATAGATTTAATTTTGGCCCGCAGGATCATTTCTAATTACTACTAGATCTGGCCCGCCGTTATATTGCACGCACACCTTCGCTCAATCCTGAGGATTTCCTCAGCTCAGAGCCTGACCCCAAACATTGATGAACTTGCACCCAAGATGAGATGCCAAGTATCTGGCTTGAACTAGCATCACAGAGCAGCAAACTGAGTTTAAATAAATTTTTCCTTTTGCACTTTTTTTCTTGCGACAACAGGGCATGTTTGTTTTTTTCTTTGAGGGAAATTGTTTTTTTGAAGCTGTGGGAAAATGTAATTATAAAAAATGACTCCGGAAAAGCTGCAGAGCCATAAGAAATGAATGCAACTGATTATTTAATGTTTAATGTTGTTTTTATAGGCAATAATTTCATCTTTGTTAGTTCCAGGTTTAAGATGTGCAATAAGTTCATTTCAATACGTTTTGCAATAAACATTGAACCAGTCCGGCCCTCGACTAGTACCGATTTTGAAATGTTGGCCCATGTGTATTTGAGTTTGATACCCCTGGTCTATTTGTTGTATAGTACAAATAGTAAAGTTACTTTCATTATGAATCTTATACTTTCTATATATTATTCCATTGTTTCAATTGTTTTGATTATTTTAGCAGAAATATTTCATACACAAATGTCGCTTTACACATTTCTAAACACTTTAATTCCTGAATGACCACCTTTCTTCTCTTCCTATTTTCTTATTTCTGTTTCATAACGCCCTCAGTTTTCAATTAGTGTAATGAACACTGATGTGTATGTGCCTTGTTATTATGTATTGGAAAAATTGTTCAACAAAGTGTTGAAGAAAAACAAATTACTTCCCACCATTAATAGAAAACAGGAAATCAATCTGGTCCCACCCCTTCAACACCTGACGTCCAACAGGTGACAACTTACCAACGAGTTAACCGTTTCACCTGTAGGCCTACAATAGTCATGATGAATAGATAGAAGTAACACCTGGAAGTGCACGCAGTCTGCAGTTTATTTGGTTTTAGAGGATTCTGAAATTAGAAAACTTCTTTCACCGTTTCCAAACCAAGATAAAGAGTTTTACTTTTAGCTGGTGTCCTGTTTGTCTCTAGGTATGTGACGGGTTTTCCTGATATTTGCGGTTGCTTTCAGATCATAATGGAAGTAAAAGCACAGGTGTTATTATTAACACGATTATGGCTGTATTTTACTATTACTATCAGGCATGGAAGTGTTAAAGTGGGCCAGGATCCTCAAACTGGAGCAGCTTAATGCTAATTAATTTGATTACGTACACCTGTGCTTTCTGGGACATGTGAAAACGCAAAATGTGAAAAAAGGCCTATTGGTGACATTATAGGTCAATATGGTTAGTAGAATACTGCCACCTGCTGGCAGTGTTTATAACTAAACATGCACAATTTGTTATAATTACTATTTGTAATGCCATTTGTTGTTTGTTACAACAGTGATTTAAATATTTATTGGGTAGCCTTGCATATTGAAATATCCGGTTGCTAATCGTGACATAGCATCATACCTATATAATATTATTTGTAAATATCACCAGTACAATTTATTATTTGTTTTATGTTTTACTGATTAAAACAGCCAATTGCTGCAATTGCTCCCCAAATATGTGTTTGTGATGGAATAGCACAAAAGCTATTGTATTAGTGCTCTGCACACCAAATGGATGAACTTAAAAAAAATATGATTGAATTTCTCTTGGTAAAAAACACTTTGGCTCTTTTTTAGAGACAAATGGTGTAAGTGATGGTGAACACATGCGAATATTATCCGAATAAGTGGGGTTATCTGCTTTTTCTTTACATTGTTATATTTTAGGGTCATGTTATACCACTATAAACAGTTATCAGACATTTCCCCAGAGATCTGTTATGTCTTTGAGATCATGTGCTATAGGACAGCACACAGGTTTTGTATCATTCTCTTGTTTTGCCTTAGTAAATTTGGTTGGCAGTATTGCCTCCTGACACTTTTACCTCGGAAGCTTATAAACAGAGCATCAGTTTATTTGCATTCCTTTTTGGCAATTATTTAGTGGCATAATGTGGTTTGCTTTGATTTACTTTAATTCATAATTTTTGAAGCAATTGTAACAGTAAGAAGGACACATAAAGTACTGAGATCAAGATGGTTTATCTTGAGGTGGAGTTTAGAGGTTTAGGTTTTGGTTAGATTTGTTCCCCTCCCCTTCAATACTGTCATTTAACTCAAATGCATTGAAGAAGGTATCTGTACATATGCCTCAAGATGATGTGTACATTTTACAGGTTATTGAAGACGACAGCTAATTCCCCTCCTGAATGCATTGCCTGTTTTTGTGAAGAATAGAGATGCCATAACCATAACCATAACCTCAGCCATATCAGTGTCGCTAAATATAATACGGAAATATTCATTAGACTAAATCACATTCATTATGTGATAATAGTGATGTTTTTTGGATATCATTTATCCTTACCATATTTGACTTTGCTTTCAAACTGATATGGTCAAAAAGGAAATGTTACAAAAATGTCTTAATGTTCAACAGTCTGCTTCTCTATTGATAACTCTAAGGTGGGATATGATAAGATAAATCTCTCATTTGTCAAACATTTAATTTACACAGACGTATTCAAAAATAGACTTACCATGTGGTTATTTGAGATAGACTTTATGCATTGCCAGAGAAAATGCTCTATCAGTATTGAGATGTGAAATGACGTAGCCTATATGGTGATTTTCTACATATCGCCCAACCCTATTTCCAGCGCTCCATTATATCACAATCAGTTCAACAAGTTCAACGCTGAGAGCTTTTCAGTACACTGGAGTTTGTAGCAAAGTACCTCACTTTGTTGTGCTTTAACAGTAGTTGAAGAAAGACAAATAATTCTCCTATATATGTGAGGGCCTGGCATAGGCGGAAGGGGGGGTATGGCATTGTTAGACGTTGAGACGGTGTCAGGCAGCCTGCTGGGAATAGTGCGCTGCTTCCCTGTCGAGGGGGCCATGGCACTTAGACTGGCAGCAGCATGCTATGACTCCATCCCAGCAACAGTGTCACAGATTTGGGCAGGCTGACAAAGGATTCCCAGCCAATCAGGGTACACACAGTGCCAGATCACTCCAGAGGAAGCCAATAGTAAGCCTTAATGTGCTCGTGTCATCCCTCCCAGATGTGAATTCCTTCAAAACCCACAAGGTACACAAATGCAGGCACAAACACGCAGCTCTAACTCAAAGACATAGTGTGCACATTTACGTGACTGTGTGTGTGTGTATGGAAAGGAGAATACATATAAAAACAGTCTCTGTGTGTGTCTGCAAGTGAATGCACCACTGTATCATACCACTAAGTAAGTGCATTTCAGACCTGTCAGCATCTTAAAAATACTACATAACTCTTGTTTACATAGAGGTGGCCAATCACCACTGCTGCATGTGAAGCGTTGTCTACCTCTAGTGGACAATCTGAGTAACACAGGAGTGTTTGCACTGTGACAAGTGTACTGTATTGTACTGATATGATTGTGTCATGTCACCATTTGTGATTTTAAATCATAGAGGCAGGTAAGAACAAAGTTTTTTTTTCAAATGTTATTGTTTATTTTAAAAATGCAATAATGTGTCCACACCAAATAGAGAATGAAACGTATACAGACAAAAAAGAATATAGTATAAAACAGTTTTCTAACCACAGATATTTAAAAATGAAAATCCATGACACTTTAACATTGTATGCCACATGCCATTAAAAATCCTCAAAAGTCCACATTTGGATCATAAAATGGTATCATCATTTAGTCTGAAAAAAGAAAGCAGAGGGAAGTTGTCAGGATCTGGTGACTGTTTTGAATCAAAATATAAAAAAAGGGAAATTCAAACAGTTACTTTAAATTCCCTCAAACTACTACATATGTTTTATCTTACCTTAATCATGGTAGCAAAGACACCATAGATGAAGGAGATGAGGAAACACGGGAGAAAAGTGAAAGCCAAATACCAGCCTTCAACACCGGTTTCTTGGTTCACATCTGCATCCAGGATGTCATCTAGAAAATTACAGTCCTCCAAGTTGTCTGTGAAATAATTAAAATGAGATTTGTCAGTTAAATGTTGTGTCGGGACACGACACATACTACATTGACTTGGACACACCGAAAGAGAGAATGTTAAAATATATTATCTTGCAATAGACGGTTGACCTTTTTTAATTTGCAACAAAGACATGGATCATAAACAAACTCGCACCTGGTTTTGATGAATTCAGGGATATGCTGGTGTTTGCATGCGTGACCCTGCAGGTGATTCTGACCCCAGGTAACCAGATGACTTGAGACAGACTAAGGTGGCTTTGGATGCTGAACGTTCCCTTTGGGCCTCTGTGGGGTTCACTAGTGTTGTAGTGCAACAGTTCACTGGTGTCATCGAGGAACCAAGTGATGTTTATGGAAGCTGGACTGTAGCCAAAGACCAAGCAAACAAGTTCACCAGAGCCCTGGAGAATGGTGGCCGAAGGTTTGCTGTATGTCACTGTGGCTGGAGAAAAGGATCATGAGTTATTTTTGAATTAATTTGTATTTGGATGATGACAAATCAAGAAACACCTGTATTTAGAGGGGATATACCATAGTCTCTACTAGAAAATGCTTTAATGTAAGAAAAACAAGTGTTCTTCTGATAATCTCTGGCTACATTTTAGTGCTTATCTCTCTCTCCCCTCCTGTAAAAACAAAGTCTGCTCTGATTGGAAGAAATGCTTACAGTCACTTCTTTACCTTTTTGCTTACTGCTACTCTGCAACATTATGAGCAAGCTACGGTGGACAAAAAACCGCGGTCTATGGTCAAAATAAATTATTTTGAGTGTCTGTATTTTAGCTTATACAATCAACAACATTCTGTCATTATGAAAATCCAGGCGTATTGCCCCCCTTTGATCTTAACACATCTCCACTATGATAAACAACTGCAATTTTACTAAAGGTTATACACGGCTCACCGAAAACATCCTTCATAGTGCTTTTAAAAGGCTTTTCAGATGACTCATGCGTAACAACACAAGCATACGCAGACTCATTGTCGTCGTCAGTTTTTGAAAGTCTGCTGCTCATTGAATAAGTGCTGCTCCCGGAGTACTTCCATGCAGGACTGTTGGTGTAACGAGTAGAGGGGAGTCGCTGGTCATTCTCTTCCCAGTTCACTATGATGTTGGCCGGGAAAAATCCAGAAACTTCGCAAATTAGTGCGTTGACTTCTGATGTAGACAGTTCAGAGGTAGTCGGTTGTATTATCTTCACTGTTGGTTGGTCCATGTCTTTAGAAACGGAAAAAGAAGGCAAGAGGAAATAGAGAATTATATTATGACCATTTATCATCAAACATCTTGTAGGATTTTTTTATGGAGGGTTCTGATGCCTTCTCAAATTATGTTTAGAAACAGCTATAAGCAATCACAACAAATCATATGCTTTTTATGCATAACACTACCTCTGCTTTTGCTAATATGATCCACGTAGCCCTTGTTGGAACATCGGTGCTTTGCCTCACAAGACACATGTTTATATGCATGCCAATCCTCCACCGACACAATCAGGGAGCTCCACAAAGTCTCTGTCCCATTGCTGTGACTCACTGGTGGCTCGTTAAGGGCATTCAGGGAATTCCTGCCACCTACTTTCCAATTGACAGAGAAATCACTAAGAGACGGGCCGACCAGAAGACAGGTGATATTCACCCGCGTCTTATTCATAAGCTCCTGGAGTGGTGGTCCCTGAACATACACACCAACTGTCGTAGATGATGCTGGAGTTACTGTAAAAAGGGAACAAGACATTTAAAGGGGGAGCACATGCAACACCAATCAAGTAATGATTGTGGGATAAAGGATTCAAATTCAAAAACATGTTTAATGTACACTTACTGCAAGGGTATGATTACTGATTTTCATTTTACCTGAGCAGATGCTGATGTTCTTTCTCACAGTTTTTTCCAGAAACTTGTCATAAACTTCACAAGTGAAGACCTTCCCTGTGCTCCACTCTGATGGAGGGATCTGAAGTTGACTGGTTACCGCCACACGTCCACCTGCATCCATGCTCATTTCATTAGTTGATGGAGAGCTTTGCTGAGACTCAGGAGACCATTTGATTTGTGGGTCGAAGCCCGATCCAGAACACGAGAGTCTCTGGGTTCCTGATTCTTCACTGAGGGCCAGAAGAAGTTCCACTGATGGCTCTACTTAAAAATGAGATGTATCAATGCACCAATTAAACAATAAGTGAATATTTTAGGTTTAAAACATGGCAACTGTCATCAAGGAAGAAAGTATAACTCCTCTCACCAAAAATACTGCCAATGGAGTTTGATTCAAAGCTGTTGGAGAAGCCTTGGTGAACTTTGCAGGTGAACTTTGCATTTTCATTCCAGTAACGTTGAAGGACAGAGAAACTTGTACTGATTGAATGGAGGCCTGGGGCTTGAGGAAGATCGACATAATGTGGGACAGAAATGTCAAGACCGTCGCTCTGAAAAGTGACGTACAGGTCATGGGATGAGAGCTTTGTGATGTCACACTTCAGCACAGCCTTTTCTCCTTCCAGAAAATCCTTTAGAGATCTCCTGATGCTAACCAATGGAGCTGTAACTGCAGGCCCTGGATGATTTAGAAGAAAACAAAGCAGATTCTATTGTTTTATGTATTTAGTTGTCAAAGACATCTATTATTCATATAGTATAGTAATCATACCTGCAACATTCACAGTCTTCTCAGTGGATGAGAAGCACTTATGTTCAGCTTTACATGTCAGAAAGCCAAGTTTTTTCCATAGACTTGAGGTCAGCGTCACTTCACTGAAAATATGAGTTGTGTTACTCTGCACTGAGCTGCTTTCTGTCACTTCATCACCCATCAGCCAGGTCACCTTGGCTTTAAACATAGTGTGGACCACACATGTAGCTTTCACCGTGGATCCTGCCATCATTACAGTCTTGAAGCTGGGGATCTCCACATGGATGGGGGGAGGGGCACTTGCATGGACTGCAGGAACCAAAAACACACTTGTATATACATGTTCTCATTAACACTCCCTATTTTTTTCATTGTGCTGTGAAGTAGTAGCTGTACTTACGTTGACAAATACTTGTTGTTTTTATAAATTCCGTATTTTTTTGAACGGACTTGCATGTATAAATTGAGCCACCTGCCCACTCTTTGATATTCGGCACAATCTCGCTGCTTAAACTGAAGGTTTCCTCCACTCTTTCCACACTCTGCAACTGCTTCTGGATACCCACATTAGTTAGATGTTGGTTGTCCTGCTTCCACTCCACTTTCAGTCCGTCAGGAAAGTAGCCACTTAGGGTGCAGATGAGTCTGACTGGTGAGGTCCCAAATTCACCTTCCCACAAAGGGTGTAGTGTGATATTTGGAGGGACAATCCGCTGTACTGAGATAGAGAAAATATCCATTACTTGCTTCATTCTAAAAGTTAGATGTGGACAATTTTCAAATATAAGATGATTTAGTCTTTTAAGATATACATACCTTTTTAGTCAAGTTACCAACTGCGTTTTTTCATATCTAAGTGTATTATATTCATATAAGGCTAGGTGGCAGAGTTGTACTTTTACATGGTCTGGTGTCTTACAGTCAGGTGGAGACGAGGCTTGAAGTCTGTTGCACAGATGTTGCAGAATGACAGGGCAGAGTGATCAGGGCAAGCAGCAAGCGGAAGCATTGAGTAACACCCAGGTCCCAAAAAAGTACCAAAATACAGAAGTGAAACACTGCCAAGAGCAACGGTGCATGACAGACACCAGGTGTGAGGTGTGGTTATGCCAGTAAAAGAAACAATGTGCACATTTAAATATCTCATATCAGTTTTCACATAGATTTTACATGACTTCTCATGACTTTGATAAAGGTTTTAGTTCTCAATTCCATTAATAATAGACTTGAGAACTTACTGACTGTAAAAATAAATTTACATTTAGACATTTACATAATGAGTTTAACATGGGGTGTTGATTCCAGGTGCTGGGTAGGTTACGAAAAAATGTCAAGAGCAACGTCAATGGTTATCTTTAATGAAATATTTATTTTTCAAAAACACACAAAGCTCTTTTAAGAAAAATGATAAAGGACAGTTGCGATAACTTACATGGTACCATGAGTTTATAAGAAAGAAATGTGAAACCCCCCCCCCCTTTTCTTTTTTTTTACAGAAAGTTCACCTCGTTTCATTTAACCTGAAAAGACAAAAGAAAAAAATGGTTTAGAAATAACTAATAATAACTGTATCAATAAATGGTATCAATACTTAGTGTTGCAACTGGCTTATGTTGTAGTATGATGTTCTCATTTAATTCATTAAGCTTCATTAATCTATGTGAAAGATAATATTCAACACTCAATAAAATGTTAAGACAAAACTTTAAGTATGATGGTTACCATAGGGTTGACTTAACACCTCTGTAGAAAAGTCTTTAAAACTCTTTACGTAAAAAGGTATTTTTTTCTTTTTTAAAGTACTGTAGGATCTGTGTCCGCCCCTCAACATGCCTACATCATTGATATTGGGACTTTTGCTAAAAACCCTTTAATAATGTATCACTACCTTTTATTAAAAACATTACTATATTTACTATAAAGAAAATATAAATAATGTGAGATTATCTTTGGCGATACTGAATTCATTCTCAAAAAGACTTCACATGTTTTATTTATAGTTCAATGTCCATTTAAGTGTTCAGGTCTCCCGTGACACGTTTCAAGTTTCAATTATACAATAAGTAAGTAACATTTATTTATAATCTGCTTTTCACAGCAAAGTCAAGTGATTGACAAAACATTAAAACATCATAGGAATCATAAAATAATAAATGACCACACAAGTCACGTGTTAAGAAGTGCTAAAAACACAAAAACACAATAATAACTAAGCTCTAGTTTTTTTTATCGGAACAAGGCTTCATGATATCCCCCACAACAGCTATATACACACTACAACACTGATTTTGACAATTTTAGCCAAGTTTTAAGGTCTCTAAAAAAAATAAGTGTATCATTTGGTGTTCGGGTCTGGGCAGCATTGTTGTGGGTGACTCGGGGTCAAATTTGGCCCAATCAAGATTAATCTTTGACTTTAGACACCACAGAGGTTACTGTAGTTAATAATATACAGTTTTAAAAACTTTTTTGGGGGAAATTGAATTCTAATATTAGTCTATTATAGTCAGATAACGTAATGATCCACTGTCTTCACTATAGGGAATATAATGATTGAATTGAATCACATTTTTTACTTAAATATGTGGTGTAAAGTGTTTTGGTGCCATACAATAAAATGACAACAGGATTGTATGGTTATGAATGCATAATAAGTTAGTTATAATGTAGATAAAACAATATTGGATGATAGTCATTATATTTGACTGTTTTGGACTTAGATCAATCTTAAAGAACACCATGAACGGTAACAGCTTTCCAACACAACACAACGGTTAAACTTTGTTTTTATTGAATTTGTTTACCTAAAGAATCCTAGTTGTATTACTCTTAAGCAAAAGTTAATGCCTTTGCTCAGATTGCAAAAAAATACTTAGATCAAGTTTAAAGTAGCTGTGAATAATGCAAATGCAGATTCCACGGCTCTGATCACGTACAATTAGTTTTACTCAGATTTTATGCATATGGCTGGTTGTTCTTTACTATTTAAATGTTTTTTATAAAAATAAGATTACAATAAATAGTATTGCTTATGTTAATTTATTGAATCATAACCCCTGTATCATGCTGCCTATCTTATTGCCTGATTCTAGCCAATTCACAATAAGGCAGTTATGATATGATTACTATCACGTATTATTATCACGTATTCTGACATTTCATTTACAACGTCTATTCACTACATGCACCCTTTGTAACTTCTCATATTAGTGTAGTTTTCTGTCCACCCCTTAGTGTTGTTTGAAGACATCCAACTATTTACTCAGTTGTCTTTTTCTGGCTGAATTCAATCCACATCATTACCTAATCAACTCATTATTACCTTGAAAGCAGTGGTTCCAATGGCGAACAGCAGAGTGATGAGGAAGAGAAGGATGAAGGTGATGGCTGTGCTTCCCATGTTATCTTCTTCTACCTCTGTGCTTCCCATGTTAGCTTCTTCTACCTCTGTGCATCCCGTGTTACCTTCTTCTACCTTCTTCTCAATGTTCGTTTGGTTGGGTTCTGGATGTAGAGAAATTATTCAGTTAATACCTGAGACAAACCCAGCTTTAAAACAGTAGCTCATGAGATAATTACCATATCATAATCACTTCCCTTCCCCACTCTTAATAACCTCAGGCCAGTGTGAAACTACAGTAACTCAATGTCAGTTAATTCAAGTTTAACTACAAATTTAAATAATGTAACTATACATTATTGTAAGTGTAAAAGGCTGGGCTAAAGGTCCCACTAAAATTGATTATGATAATTAAATTCATCCTACAATGATCTTGAATTGCTTTTGAAAGACCCCTTTATGTGTCATGACCTGGCTTATTATTCGACCATAGAGCTGGAGTTTGGCCATGAATAACTATTTGTCTTATGTCGGGGTGCAAGACCCAGTAGTAGAAACACACGTACACAAAGTCACACAAACAATGGTAATACTATGTATACAAAAAAACAATAAACAAATTGATTTTCTTCATTAGATTTTGTGAGGTGATGTTGTTAAATTTGATCTATTTTAATCACTGCTTAACACACGGATGGCTTAACCTAATGTGTATTGCATTAGGAGAGCGCTGTGACTCCACACTTAAAGTATCCAATCCATTTTATTTCTATAGCACATTTAAAAACAACAGAGTTGAACAAAGTGCTGTACTTTAACAACAATATAAAAACATAGCATAATTAAATACATAAAAAATAGACATGAAACAAATGTAAAACACGAGAAAATGAAACCAGATCAGAAGCCACAGATTGAAAAACTCTCCTACATGTTACCGACCTTTCGGGCTGTAAGGGAGTATTTGATGCTGAACTTACGTCTGTGGCATGGACGATGGGCACCAAGATTGTCTGCAAGGTGGAGCATAAAGATTAGATGACACCACTTACAAGATCCTATCAAAGGATTAATGGTAAGACTGAAAAACTCTCCTACATGATGTAAAAACAATACAAAACATTAACTAGTAAGATAATTCTTCACTGTCTCCTCATTTCAAAAAGGGGGCACAGGTTGTCCTGAAGCAGATGCGGATGTACATATGATCAAACCCCTCAATGGAGGACATGTTATTACACCACAAAGGAACGGTATCTTGTCAAGTCAAGGTTAACGAACCATCTCTGGATAAGATTTCGTGGGAGACCAAGACTGGAAATCCAATACTTGGTGCTGACCCAATTACCGAACTTAAGGGCTGTAAGGGAGTATTTGATGCTGAACTTACCATCATGTCTGTGGCATGGACAAAGGGCACCAAGATTGTCTGCAAGGTGGAACATAAAGATTAGATGACACCACTTACAAGATCCTACCAAAGGATTAATGGTAAGACTGAAAAACTCTCCTACATGATGTAAAAACAATACAAAACATTAACTAGTAAGATAATTCTTCACTGTCTCCTCATTTAAAAAAGGGGGCACAGGTTGTCCTGAAGCAGATGCGGATGTACATATGATCAAACCCCTCAATGGAGGACATGTTATTACACCACAAAGGACCGGTATCTTGTCAAGTCAAGGTTAACAAACCATCTCTGGATAAGATTTCTTGGGAGACCAAGACTGGAAATCCAATACTTGGTGCTGACCCAATTACCGAACTTAAGGGCTGTAAGGGAGTATTT